AGAGTTCCCCAGCCAGACATGCTGGCTCGGGAACTCTGGGAGTTGAAGTCCGCTCATCTTAAAGTGGCCAAGTTTGGACAACACTGATCTAAGACATAATTCATACTATGAGGAATTCAGAACATGTCCATTGGGTACAAACTGAGTTAGCATTAGATTATTTTGATAGTAGACAGTATCGGTAGAGTTGAACTTTTGGGTTCTTCACTGTTTCCCTACAGATGTTTTGTTACCAGGCTAAGTAGCACCATCATGATTGGGAGAATGAAGTTGGCCGGTTGCCACGCCAGTCCTGGTTGGGGTGACGTTTCTTCCTTGATTAGAACACTGCTTCTTCCTGGATTGTTTATCTGGTGCTGTTTCCTCCTCACCTGGGTGTTGGCTGGGAGGGAGAATGTGTTTATGAGTGGTCTGTTTCTCTCCCTGACTTTTGGTCGCATCTTTTAAATGGCAGGTAGATGGGGCTTTATATCTTCTATCCATGTGGTTTTGACCATGACAAGCCGTGGAATGTGCTCAGAAAAATGGGAATCCCAGAACATCTCATTGTCCTTACCTAAAAGCTATATACCGGTCGGGAAGCCGCAGTGTAGACAGAAGATGGCGAAACAGACTGGCTCCAGGTTGCCAGAGAGACAAGGCTGTATACACTCCCCTTATTTATTCAGTCTATATGCTGAATATTATTGAGGGAAGCTGGACTGGAAGAAGAGGAGTGTGGTTTCAAAGTTGGAGGAAGAAACTTCAGTAAGTTGCACAATGCTGATGACACCCTTTAATAGCTGACTGCAAGGTCTACTAATAAAAGAGCACAGGGACTAAAATTAAATATAAAGACCAAACTAATGGCAACAGGTAGAACCACCAGCCTTAGAATTGGCCATGAAGATATTAAAGTGGTGGAGACCTTCTGCCCTTCAGGATCAACCCTCAACGCTAAAGGAGCCAGCAGTCAAGAAATGCACCAGACTAGCACTTGGAAGAGCAGCCATGAAGGCCTTGGGGAAGATATTCAGATACTGTGATGTGTCTATACCTACAAAGAGCAGAATCATGCAAGTCATGGTAGCCCCTGTGACACTCTGTGGAAGCCAATGTTGGACTTTAAAGAGTCTTGACGCCTTTGAACGTTGGTGTTGGGAACTCCTGAGATCATGGACAGCCAACAAAACAAACCTATGGATCATCAAACAAATCTATCCAGAGTTCTCACCAGAGGCACAAATGACCAGGCTCAAATTACAGGTAGTCCTTGCTTAATGACTGTAATTGGGACCGGAATTTCTGTTGCTAAGCAATGTGGTCATAAAGCACGATGTCACGTGACCACATTGCTTAGTGACGGCAATTCTGGCAGTTCCTGGTTGCCATTGTTAAGTGAGGACCATGCGGGTTGTTAAGCAAGGACCTCACATGACCACAACTTCCAATTTCCTACCAGTTTTCCCATTGGCTTGTGGGAAGCCGGCAGGGAAGGTCGCAAATCATGATCATGTGACCACGGGACATTGCGAGGGTCAGAAATCCGGGCCGGTTGCCGAGCGCTCCAATCACAATCATGTGACTGCAGGGGCACTGCGATGGCCAGAACTTCGAGGATCAGTCATAAGTACCCCTCATTCAATCTGTCATAAATCTGAACGGTTGCTAAACGAATGGTCATTAAGCGAGGACTACCTGCATCCTACTTCAGACACACGATGCAAAGAGCCAGCTCTCTGGAGAAGGCTCTGATGCCGGGAAAGGTGGAAGAAAAGAGAAGAAGACCAGCAGGAAAGTGGAGAGTTACAGTGGCAATGGTCGCACTGTTGGAAGACCTGAAGGACCGGGTTAGGGACAGATTGTCATCGAGAAAGTCTATCTATCTGGTCGCTAGCAGTTGAAAACAACTTGATGGTATATAATCAGTTAATCAGATTGTTTAATCTCTCTGTATCTGTTGATAGCTGATTGGTCGGGATATTATGCTTCCAGGAATTCCCTAGTATTTTTGGATTTGGACTGATTTAAAGATTAGATTTTTTTTTTTAATTCTGTGTGAGCAACACTGCCACTTTTAAATATGACACAACTGCATATTTAAAATTGCAGGAAATTACTGTGGAAATGGCAGGAACCATCTTCCTCGATCATTCACTTTTTAAACATGAGGTTAGATCTGTTCAATACAAGGAACAAGAAAAGTGAGTCCTTTAAAACAAATTAAGAGATTTAACTGTTGCTGGCAGTCCTTTGAGTTCTGAACATATTTATAAAAGAGACACAAGTACCGTCTTGATGTCAATGAGCCAAGTTTAATCATTTGTTTGTAAAATAAATAGAATTATCAATTTTTTTAAAATGGTGTTTATATACTTCATTTAACAGCAAGAGAACCTCATCCATTACAATCTTCTCAGACTGCATTGGGTGAAGATATTAAAGAAAAGTTTACATCTAATAATTTTTATGGCAATACCCAGTTCATCAGTATTTTTGCTCAAAGATTCTTGCAGAAACTGGGAAAAGTAGCCAATATTTTTGTAAAAAATCCTGCAGCCAGCTTACTATCTATATTTCTTAATGGATATACATTAATTCAGAATAAAAGCTTGATTTGATTGGGTTTTAGTTGCCTGGTCTGTTACAGCAAAACACCTGAAAACCAAAATATAATTTTTATTGGATTAGTAGTATTCAAAAGTGTAAGAAATGACTTCCGCTGAAAAAATTAACACCACAGCAAAGAGCCCTGAAAAATGCCGCAAGGAAGGACAAATTCGATCAAATTTGATCACATTTTCTCTAATACAGAACTTGACATTTTTAAAGCCAGTTTAGATATAAATAATGAATACCGGTACTTAAAAAGTTGCATTTCTTCTCAAAGCTACATATGGACCATCCCTTCTGCTTGCTTTTAAATTCATTTTTCGTTGGGTTTTGGGTTATGGGCTTTTTCAAATCTTTTTATTTTTAATATTTATATTTTGTCCTTTTTGTTTGCCCCCCCCCCCCATCAGAATAAAAGAGGTGCTGGCATGACAAGTTCTCCCTGGTTGAAACTCACATTTGCTTGCCGCTATAGATGAGTCGCTGCTGTTGTGGAGGAATCCCTTCCTTTTCTTCTACTCGCTCCTTTATTCTTTCCACCTGGAAGAGAACAGAGAAAGGGAAGGGAAGAACAAAGTCACTTTCCCCGTAGAACAGCTTTTGACCTCAACCAGTTGGAGGTGGGAAGGGCCACAACAAGGAGCATAGGATCATTTTAGACCAGTGTTTTTCAAACTTGGCCACTTTAAGATGGATGGACTTCAACTCCCAGAATTCCTCGGCCAGCATGGCTGGCTGGGGAATTCTTGGGGTTTAAGTCCACCCCTCTTAAAATGGCCAAGGTTGAAAAACACTGTTTTTGGATCATCCCAGGGAAGGCCAGGGGCAGTGATTCCCAACCAGGTGGGCCCTGCTGGGGTCAGTAACGGCTTGGGGGTGTAGTGGGGGTGGGGGGGGGTCCTCAATAAAGTTCAGGGCAAAAAAGGCAGAAAAAAAGAAGGCTGAGGAAAAGTGGCTGGCTGATGAAGAGAGGAGGATGAATACAAAGTTGG